ATGGGTAAAATAAAACTAGGCAAATAATATGAGGGATGTGTAAACCACAGTTTTCTGCAAGATATGATTCCTTCCTTATATTTGGCACCATATTTGGATGCATTTGGAGCACTGTACCTGGAGTTGTGTGACCCACTGGAATTTGGACTCCTTGTAGAAATACCTGAGAAGGACAGTGAGACTGGTGAGGTGTAATAAAACATGAACTGTGATGGTTGGGCTTAAACAGCTTTTTGAAGAGCTTTAATAGTTTTGACAAACATCTGTGCAGAATGGCAGAGCTTCTGCTTTCCTGTTTTGAGATCTAGATAACCCTACCCCTAACTCCGATGATTTTATAGCATTGCTGTGAACATGAACTGGAATGCTTCCTTGCCTGTTCTTGACTTCAGCACTATGCTTGTCACAGCAATAGCATTCCCAGTTTGTTACCTGGGATAAAGCCTTGCAGAACTTCATCCATGTGCTGATGGTGAGGGGGAGAAGCGGGGGGGTGCGTGTGGGGGACACCCATGTGAAGGTGCTCCGCTCTCTGCCCTGTACCTTCACTCTAGGTGGCTCTGAGCACTGCAGCATTCCAGTTTTCTTGGAGATAGTCTTACACAAATACTTGAGATGATGTGGTTTTAGTACGTTTACTGCATAGAAGGAAGAAAAGATGAAAGTGTTTATAATAGAGTTGACAAGTGCAATTAAAAATTATCTTCCTTGCTTTCCCAAACAAAATACAATGATCAATAGAAGTTTCCATCAGAAAACAAAGTAAATTATCACTGTTGAGCATCTGCATTTTTTAATCAAGATTTCTTTGTTCATTTTGATTTTATCTATTAATAGAAAAAAAAACAACCCCCAGTTTCTGAATCTTGCACTGCTTCTGTTTCCTTACAAGCACCTGTGCAAACTTCATAGGTGACTATCACTACGATTTGGAATCGTGTGTTTGATCTGAGAGATCTTGGGTTCAGATGATGGTGGTTTTTTTAAACCACAGTTAATTATTCATGCAGTAAGGTCAGCTCCATTGCTTTAATGACACTGACATGCTGAGTACAGCGGGCTGGATGCCTGTCTCTACCCATGCAGGTGTGCTATTAGAAGTTATCTTTCCCAATCATTCATTGCCTCTCCTGAACTTGGGAGCCTCTGTTTCTCCTGAAACTCCCCATGGAGCTGCTCATGAGAACACGCTCAGCGCTGCTTCATTAGGGTGATCTAAATGAGTTTCAGCAGTAGGTATTTGCTGATCCGGCTCATTTTGAAAAAAGCCTTTTGGACTACGTTGACATGAGAGGCAGATTTCAGCAGTAGTCTGTGGCAAAGGGGTCCTGGTGAGCAGCAAAGAGTTGAGCTGGTGAATGTCTCCTTTTCCACTAACATGAGGTTTAAATGCTTTGTCTGTTACACCTTCAGTGTAGCTACAGTGTTAATGTGTGCTCTTGGTTTTGAGTTGGTACTGATTAAATTAGTCCTGTAAAGGAAGAAGAAACAACTTAGTACTTCTCTAGCAATTTACATAGCAGTCATTTAAAATAGTGCAAAGCTTCACACTTCAGAATTGCTGAAAAGAGTGTGTAAACAAAGATTTTAGAGAAGAGTTAAATAACATGATACCTAACTTTGAGCATGTATTATTTAGTTGATAATACCCAGTTTATGAACATTTGCTAAATTTTCAAAGCTGTATTTCACTATATAGTAAATACATATTTCAGTATATTTTCAGCATATGTATTTAAAATCCATGTCAGATTTGAAAGGTTGCATTTTTGGAGGGACAGATTTTATTTATCACAATTCAAAAGTAAACTCATTGTTTTAGTGGATCAGAAGGAATTTATTTTCCCATCCATGACATTTTAGAAACAAAGTGTGCTAGAAAACCAGCCTGTGTTATTTTGTTCAAAGCCCAACATTTTTAAAATACAATGGTATATAAAACACCAAATGCTGGACATACCTAATGGTTTATTTATGTGTGCCGCTAATTAAATGTTAAGCATCAAAAATTGACTAATGAGCTTTAAACTGTCAGCCAGCAGTAGCTTAGAAACTATATTCTATATGCTTATGTAATATCTTAGAGTAAACTTCAGTGGCTTGGAAAACAGTAGAAAACATGAAATTGCAAACATATTTGTCATGATTTTTAAAGCATATTGTTAAAAGTTGGAATTTTAAGGGATTTGGACACTAAAGAGAAGCTGCTATCATTTAAGAGTGCTGCAATAACAATATTTTTATAAATGTATCGAGTCTCATCTCAACATTTAGACTGATTCAACAGTAAGTAAAATAAAATGCCTTCCAGCTTAATGAAATGGAATTTTATGCTCTTTAGTTAAATGTTTCTGATTTGCTTTTGTGCATCAGCTGTTTATTTGTATTTCTATTGCAACCATAGTATATATACTGACCTGCTCAGAATTTGTCATTAGTCACTTTGAAATCTCATTAAAAATTATCCTGGAAGTCACTTGCTTTTCCTGACGTTTGGAATACATTATTAGAGTTTTCAGGGAAAGACAGTTTGGAAGATCCAAGTACTGGGAAGCAGCAAGTTATATAGAATAAAATAATACAGTTTGGGCCAAGGAATTATGTCTTTTAGAGCTTCCATTAAGGTGAAGGTTGGCCTTTTAATTCGCAGTTAAAAACCTAGTGTTGGTTGATGAGTTATAGTTCAAAGTGAAAGTTTCTTGGAACTAGATCTTGCTTTCAGTTTTGTTATTTAGGAAACTATAGAGAAATTATTTAAAATCATAAAGAAGTAAAGCATGCTTAGCAACTGCCTAAACCACACCTAGATGTTGATGATGAATATCACTATATTTTGAGTTAATGCACATTGGAAATAGAGACTGTCAAACCAGTACCTTTGAGATCGTTGGAAAATGCAGGCAGACCATGAAAATGGGTATAAAGTTTGTGGCAGGGTTCTCGTTTCAGACTTGTGACCTAAATAGCTGAATCAGTTTCTACACAGGGATTGAGGCAGAGGGGAAAAAAATGAAAAGCAAGCTAAGAAATACAGTTCAGGAAAAAGACTCGGAAATCTCCAGAGCCGTAATGTGCTGTATTTCTGTAAGAAGGATCAGAAACCAGAGCTTGGGCACATGACCTCAAGCTACTCAATGCAAATGAGGGAGCATATCCTCAGGTTTTTGGCAAAAAGGCTTCCTCGCTGTTCGAAGCGTGCTATCAGCTAAACCAGTCTCTGGCTGCAGTACTGACTTTGGCAGCAGAAGAAATGTTTGGATACTCTCTGAAGATTGAAGGCAATGAGGTAAGATATGGCTTAAAATGAGTTGAAAGTGAAGAATCCAAACTGAGTCAGTAACTTAGATTGTGATAGTATTTCGTAACAATGTAAATTGTTTCTTTCAAGGTTATGAAAAGGAAAATAAGTGTGTGCACATTATATTGTCCCTTATACCTGATGCTGATGAAATGTATTATACTATTGTGATGAAATTATTGACGATACAAATTTTAATACTGTGTAAAATGTATTTTGCTTTGTTTGTATGTTTTTGTCATTTGTAGGCTAATCAGAAAGTCAGACTCGGTTCATACATTCCTGATTTTGTTCTCAGAGTAAAATTGTACATTTGTTTTGAGTATGTAAATGGATGTAACTTTATGAATAGTGGAGAATGTCTCTTCATGTTTCAATATTGTATATGCAAGATGTTGCTAATTGTAAAGGGCTTGACAGTCTGCTCACTGGATTTGTTCTGGAGACAAAATTTTGTAGAAGTATTTATGCAAAACAAAGCCATTTGTCTAACAAAAACCTGGTTTACATAAAGCTGCATGCCCTGAACAGATTATTGATTAAATATATTTCATTTTATGGAGTGAGTCTGACTGCTTTGAAATCTCCAAGCCTTACGTTACCTTCCTAGGTTTTTCTGCTATATAAATATCCCTTAAATGCATAGAGAAATTAGGGTTGATGTTACTTTATCGTCTGTAATGCTTGGGGGGAAATTAAAAAAAAAAAATAAAAATTTGTCTCCTCATGTGAGGTATCGACCGTGTACATGCTTAGGATAATTGTTTTTTGTGGTCTGATTTCTTAAATGGAAAGAGATTAAACTGAAAAATAGATGAGCATCAGATGTGAGCCCCAAGAGCTGTGGTTTAGAATACTGAGAATATTTATCTTTGAGGCAAAAATCAGTTTTCAGTCTTGGGTTTTAAATCTAAAATTACATTTTTCTACATTCCTCCAGGCAGACCTCTTTATCCTTATATGTGCTTTTCATGGTTTAATTTTTTCTGTCTTCTGAGAAAAAGTTTGTTTGCCCAAGAAAGCTATACTTTTACATAGTTTTAGAATAATGTATCTTCCTAAGGACTGTACTGGTAAAAAAATGCCACTTTTCTTCAAATCTCCTTCATTCTTGTCTTCCATAGAGACTTGCTTTTTTGAGAATTGGTCACTTTTCCTTTTGGGAGTTTTTCATAACTTAAAATGCAAATGTTTCCAAGATGATTAAAAGATAGGAATAACAGATGAAAAGGCAGAGTTTGAACCTTACTGATTAGAAATAATTAGATTATTTTTTCCTTAAATTGGGTTATTTTCATGAAAGAACATGGATTTATGCTAAAGAATCCAAACCATAGGTTAAGACCTCATTTTTTACTCTGGAGTGGTATTCAGCAATTTTGAGTTACAAATACAGATATAGTTCTGAGTTTATTTGTCTTGCTAAGTAAATATACTCATAAATATCTGTCTGTACTTAGTGATGTTATACTGATGTTTGAATTCCCATTTACTGAATAGAATTATTTCTGTATTTATCCAAGGCCTTACTCTCTTTTTCCCCATGCATAAATATCACAGAACTGACCACCAAAATGTTTCTCATGATCCAGAACTTGTCATAGTGTTAAATGTATGATGCAGACTGTGTCAAGCTCTAGTTGTAGTATTCTGAGTTTCTGTATGTAACTGTTTATGATTTTGTTGCATTTACTAGGTTTGCTGGGATGGGTAATCTTCTTAAAGTCCTTACCAGGGAAATTGAAAACTATCCACATTTTTTCCTGGATTTTGAAAGTAAGTTGAAACAATTACAAGACAATGAGAGAATCTTTTCCCTGACTTAACAGCGAACTGAGGAACAGCTTTTAAAATCTGATTGCTTGCAGTGTGTATTTTCCAGCACAACCAGTCTGTCCAAGTCCTTGTTTCGAAAATCATCTGTTCACTCAGGACTCCTTTTCTCTTCCTTTTCTATTTTTCAGGAACCAAATGGGAAATCTTTTAAAAGTTCTCACTTGCACAGAGCTTGATCAAGGGCCAAATTTTTTCCTTGACTTTGAAAGTGAGCAAAGCTTCTTGCCTGGCTTGCCTTCTTTGCTTATTATTTCCTAATAAACTGCATGCGCTTATGCATCATAAAGCAATTCAAAAGGGATTTGCAAACAAATCAAATTACACTTCAGTTGAATATTGCTTTTTGATATTTATAAAACCATACAAATTTACTTAAATTCATTCTGAGCAGGGAAGAGGAGAGAATGGTAGATATGCAAGTAAAACCTTACCTTGAATTAGTTTCAAAACATTTATGAGCCATTGTTAAATTTACATATGGATGAACTTGACCTCAGCTCTCTTTAACTAAACAGGGTTAAAAAAATTTGTTGCTTCCTTGAATGGAAGGAATTTCCAATAGAAATAAAAATAAAAGCTTAAAAAATAGAAGCAGTGAAGGTGGCACTATTTTTACCTGTTTTGGTGATGATTTAACTCAGATTATTATAGTTTCTAAAAAGTAATGAAGTGGTCAAAGTGTATGTGCTTGATTGCATCTCTCTTAATTGCATGGTTATCAGTTTGCAAAACAGTGTTTCACATTCTAATTTCCTGGTCACATCTATATCTGATATAAAGTTATTTCACTCTTGCTGGTTACAGTTGCCCTGCATGTACTGCTAGACATTGTCTTGAAAACTGGTCACCAAATCCTTAAATATGGGCTTAATCTTACTCCACTACTTACTTGAACTGCTTTTTATTTAAAATACTAACAGTGTGTGATGTTGTGTCTCTTAATACCTTTATTCTAAAAAAAAAATCAAAAAACCAAACAAAAAACAACAAAAAGAATGCAAGAAAAAAGTTTTGAGATAAGCTAGTGGTTTTAAAATAACTTTGTTTTGAAGCATGGTTTAACAGAGATTTTCAGGTGATTAGACACACATTTTATCACTGTGAAACAGTTTTCTTGACTCATTTATTCCTGAATTATTTTTCTGAAAAAAAGTTACTGATGTGATATGAGACTGTATGTGTGTACACACACTGAAGCACTGCTTCAAAAAGTCATTTAAACACATACCTGAATTTTATTAAATTGTTCAAACATGCTTTCTTGGATGAGAGCTAGGATAGGATATATGACTGTAACTTTGCACATATCTTGATCTTCTCATCTAGATTTTATTTACCTCATTATGAAGAATCAGTTTTAAATGATGAAAAAAAGTTAATTGGTTACTTTGAGTTTGGGAGAAGCTACTGTGAGCTGTTTATCCATTTTTCTTTTCTGTCTATATCATTTGAGAATTTCATTGTAAACTCAGGAGCTCAAACCTTTATCTAAATCCCCACGTAATTTTTTTTCTATCAGCCTTTCAAAGGCTTCATTAGTGCTCTGTGGCTTTGCCACACTATGATGAAGGTTTTCAGCTGCTCTGAGCTTCCAGGTTTAATCAGCCCCATCGAGAAAGCATTCCTG